CGCCATGGTTTCTCAGTGTTTGGTCGGCTTGATTGTGTGTGTTGTTTTGTTGTTTGGAGGAAATGTCTTGGTATTCTTCTTCTTAGCTTGAAGTTTATTTTCTTCTAACTCTCCTCCTCTTGTTGTTCGTCTTCCTCGTGTCTGCTATCATTCTGTAAAGACTCTATATATGTATGTAGGTATGAGTGAGTAACAGTTGCCGGTTACAGTGATACTTCATATTCGCTGGTGTTGTACTGTATGGCTTCGGTATTTCTTAATATACAAACGGCACCGTTAGGGGATTGAGGTATTTAAAAACCAGCCTACATTACTTATATATAGAAATAAATAATGTGGCTTGGACAATAATGACGACTACTCTCTCCTACCTTCCCCAAACAAGGGCTTTCCGAAAGTATACATTGGACACAAATGACTTAGTACATACATTGGTGGTTTAACAAAAGCCCTCATTAGAGAAAGGTGAAGGAGCACACAGTGAACATACAGATTAATGTTTGCACGCGTAGATCATGTAAGGTGAGGTGTTGAACACCAGACACGTAGTGTAGTAACTCCCTCACAGATGGCGTTATGAGGGGCCTGATGATGTAGCAGTTACCTCACAGATGGTGTTATGAGGAACTTCACATGATGCTGTAGCAAAACATTCACTACGTGGTGTCGTAGCATCTTGGGGACACCACATGGTCGACATGACTCACTCATTCAAACGTTTTTCGTTTCTCGAGATGGCGGTATATGTAATCGAGAAAGCTGACAAGACAGTCAGTGGTGGAGGAAGTTTTCATGTTGCCAAATTGCTGAGGGTCTACTACGACTCCTGCAATATCAGCAAAAGCCCAGCCAGTCGAACACAAAACTTTCACAGATTAGGCTGGTTATTGGGGTGATTGCAATAGGTCGTAGCTGATTTAAGGATTGTGGGCTGGTTGACTTGGGCACTGGTGATACATAAGAGGTCTTCCAGTCAGCTGGGCATCTGGCTTGACTGAGAAAAGCATTGATGATGGAGCATAGGGGTTTAGCAAGCTCCGGGGAGAACTCCTTGAAGAATTTCATTGGTAAGTCAATGGGGGTGGTAGAGCGTTTTAATTTTAGTTTGTCTAGGCGTTTTGCTACTTCAAATTCTTCTACTAAGAGTGGTTGTGTGTCAAGCCAGAGAGCGTCCTGGCATATAGTAGCAGAGATGTGTGTGTGTGTGTGTGTGTGTGTGTGTGTATATATATATATATATATATATATATATATATATATATATATATATATATATATATATATATATATATATATATATATATAGAGACATCACAAACATCTCTTAAACAATGAAGTAATCAAGTAATGAATTGAGTTAGCGGTTTTTCGTGAAATGATGATTTTTAATAATCTATTAATCTAGTTCTACATCTAAAAGGATATGTGTGTGTGTGTGTGTGTGTGTATACTACTGTACTTTTTAGATCCTCCTACGCAACCTAACCTATTATAGTTAAGTATAGTAGGCTATACACTATTTTGTTAGTATGTGTTATAAAATGAAATTGCATGTTATTATTATTAATATTATTATTATTAATGTTATTATTATTATTATTATTATTATTATTATTATTATTATTATTATTATTATTGTTATTAGTATTACATGCTAATATAATACTAAGTTGCCCGCCAGATTTCCTCAGAGATGGGAGGAGCACATTGGCGGCGGTGTTGTTTATACTCCGCCCGATTACTGATTCCTATTCACCGAGCCAGAGCTGGCGGGCGGCGTGTTATGTGCCACGTTTTGTTTCTCATTGGGCGTACCGCTCAGCTGGGGAGTAGGAGATTTCATAAAAAGAAAGTTTGAGTGGAGAGCACACCTTTTCCTTCACATACACTTATCTTAGACCATCTACTAGTATAATAGTTTGCACAAAAATACTCTACACTCTTTATAGGTTATTGTTATGTTGTTTTTTTTTTTTTTGACTTCTCATCAGATTGTGCATTCAACTAATATACACTATTAGTGTGTTTATTATTATGTTTTATAGTATTATTTCGTATAATATTGGGTACCACAATTATAGTCACTAGTATAGTATATTATTGGGGTTTATAGCAGTTTGTGGTCTAATAGTATCATGCTTTATGAGTGGTGTTCTATGTAGTGATGATTAGGCAATAAAATATGCTTTGGGTGTTTATAGCAGTTTTTGTGGTCTACTAGTATCATGCTTTATGGGTGGTGTTCTATGTAGTGATGATTAGGCCATAAAATATGCTCTTGGTTTATTGCTAACAAAATATACTTTGCTCTACCGCTGTAGTGCAAAACATGGTGAAACTTACATACACCGTTAATAAAGTATTGATGGAAGAAGAAGAAGAAGAAGTAAGAGGAAGAATTGTGGAGGGAATGAACAGTGAGACAATGTAAAGCCTCCGGGATGGCGGCAGCAGCGTTTCTGTTATTAATATATAATAAGACAATAGGAAAATATGTTGTTGTCTCTACCTGTATTATTACCTTTGCGATAGCATGGTTCAATTTTTGGAGGACAGAGGAAGGAGCAGGAGGTTAGGAAGGGATTTGTAGTGGGAGAGATAGTGTCTGTGATCCTCGGGTCACCACTCCTCGGATTGTGTCAGTTCAAGTTTAGAAGCTCCAACAACTTTCCCTGAATACGAATTGGCAACCTTTCGATTTACAACAGGTACCTACTTACTGCTACAGTAGGTGAACAGGGACCAAGGGGGCTAGGAAGACTGTCCAAACAACTTGCCTGTGTGATGTAGTCGTGGCCAGAATTAGGTTAGGATACAGACACATCTGGCAAATTAGTAACGCTGTACCCATACCGGAACACTCAGCATGTAAACTTTGTGATACACCTTTAAAGCACTATATTATTGAATGTGACACTGTCAAAGACTTCAGGCCACCTGACTTATTGTATCTTGAACTATGTAATTACTTCATTGAGGACATTACATTCTTGCTGTTTATCCCAAATTGGCTAGCCCACACCAATGTATGTGAGCCACTGACCTATATATGCTGCTGGTAAATGTGTACTGTCAATGAATAGGCAAACTAAAAAGAAGGTCTCATCCCTTGCTGTTGCTGCTGCTGCGCCCTTCTAAGTCCCGTTTAAGTCCCCCACCCCAGGCCCCCACAGTACCCCTTCACATCTACACCATTTTTAAACAATTACACTCAATTTGCACAATACTATGCTAATTATACGTAAAATAGAGTGTTATCCTGCAAAACGTTGATGTCGTATATTTCTCTCTTTAAGTGATATCCTGTGGCTCCGAAAGGAGCCTGTTTGGTTAGGTTGTCTTGTGTGAACGAACCTTGGGTTCTTATTTCTTCTCTGTCTTCTTGGGGAGGAGCACAGCTTGGATGTTAGGAAGGACACCCCCTTGGGCAATGGTGACTCCAGACAGGAGCTTGTTCAGCTCCTCGTCATTGCGAATGGCAAGCTGAAGATGACGCGGGATAATGCGGGTCTTCTTGTTGTCGCGGGCGGCGTTACCGGCCAGCTCGAGCACTTCTGCTGCCAGGTACTCCATGACGGCTGCAAGGTACACAGGTGCACCTGCACCACCACGCTCAGCATAGTTGCCTTTACGCAAGAGACGGTGGATCCTACCCACGGGGAACTGGAGTCCGGCCCTGCTAGAACGGGACTTTGACTTGCCCTTCACCTTGCCTCCCTTGCCGCGTCCTGACATGTTGCTGCTGCTGCTTTTTGTGATAGGAGTTAAATTTCCGGCCGCCACCTTGGTCTTTTATACCAAGCTCAGGATCAGGCCAGGTGGCCGTCTCGCGGACCCAACCAATGTAAGAGTGCCGTAGCTGCAGCCAGTCTGATCCTGAGCGGCCCGCTCGGTATATAAGGTACCCGGGAAAATCAAAACAACACTTGAGAACTGAACCTCGGCGAGGTAGGTTCTCCCTGCTCCCGAGGTACCGCGTGACCATGTTCACCTTTGATGATGCGAAGGTCGTTAGATTGGTTCCGATCAATCACCCTTCGCGCAAAGAACTAAACCTCCTTGTCCTGAGGAAGTTTTTTGACTCCTCGGGAATCACGGGGGTGACAAGGGTCGTCCGCAGTGACAGCGGCGACCTTACCGTCACCTTCGCGGAGTGGGGAGGGGCCAGGCAACTAAGACATATTAAAGAAATCAATGGAATCAAGATCAAACTTAAATGGAGCTATATTGATAACTCCGTTTTCGGAGTCATCTCCCACACAGAAATCGAATATCTCGAAGGAGAAGAAATTTTTGAACTGATCGAAGATGAGATCCTCTTTGTTAGGAAGCTGACCAGCACAACTGCCCTGGTTGGCTTCCCCAAGGAACTTCCCAGCTCCGTTTTACTGGGTTGGGAGAAAATCCCAGTAAAACCATACCAGAAAAAACCTACTCGTTGCTACAATTGCCAGAAGTATGGCCATCTGGCGCGGAAGTGTCGTGGTCGGGAGGTGTGTTCAAGCTGCGGGACACCCGGCCAAGAAGTGCGCAGCTTGTGGTGGCCCTCACTCCTCCGCCGACCGGGAGTGTCCCAAGTGGAGGGAGGAGTGCAGGGTGGCCAGGCTGCGGGCTAAAGAGAAACTGAGCTACAAGGAGGCTCTCCTTGTAGTGAAAAATCAAGAAAAGAAAAAGCAAGACAAGAACAATCAAGACAAGAACAACCAAGACAAGAACAACCAAGACAAGAACAACCAAGACAAGAACAAGATCAAGGAACCCGATAACATTACACTATCTTTAACATCGCTTATTGACGTGTATGAGAATATCCTAGCAGAAGACCAGAAAGAAGAAGACCAGAAAGAAGAAGACCAGGAAGAAGAAGAATGGAAAGTAAAAAGCAAAAGAAACAAGAAAAGAAAGAAGTCCAACCAATCAGCTTCGGCCGAAATAGCCTAACGGCGAAGAGGCCAGTAATCCTCAACAACTTGACTTGATCAAAACAATCACTTGAGAACTGAACCTCGGCGAGGTAGGTTCTCCCTGCTCCCGAGGTACCGCGTGACCATGTTCACCTTTGATGATGCGAAGGTCGTTAGATTGGTTCCGATCAATCACCCTTCGCGCAAAGAACTAAACCTCCTTGTCCTGAGGAAGTTTTTTGACTCCTCGGGAATCACGGGGGTGACAAGGGTCGTCCGCAGTGTCAGCGGCGACCTTACCGTCACCTTCGCGGAGTGGGGAGGGGCCAGGCAACTAAGACATATTAAAGAAATCAATGGAATCAAGATCAAACTTAAATGGAACTATATTGATAACTCCGTTTTCGGAGTCATCTCCCACACAGAAATCGAATATCTCGAAGGAGAAGAAATTTTTGAACTGATCGAAGATGAGATCCTCTTTGTTAGGAAGCTGACCAGCACAACTGCCCTGGTTGGCTTCCCCAAGGAACTTCCTAGCTCCGTTTTACTGGGTTGGGAGAAAATCCCAGTAAAACCATACCAGAAAAAACCTACTCGTTGCTACAATTGCCAGAAGTATGGCCATCTGGCGCGGAAGTGTCGTGCTCGGGAGGTGTGTTCAAGCTGCGGGACACCCGGTCACATTGACGCTGACTGCCAGGCGGCCGCGAAGAAGTGCGCAGCTTGTGGTGGCCCTCACTCCTCCTCCGACCGGGAGTGTCCCAAGTGGAGGGAGGAGTGCAGGGTGGCCAGGCTGCGGGCTAAAGAGAAACTGAGCTACAAGGAGGCTCTCCTTGTAGTGAAAAATCAAGAAAAGAAAAAGCAAGACAAGAACAATCAAGACAAGAACAACCAAGACAAGAACAACCAAGACAAGAACAACCAAGACAAGAACAAGATCAAGGAACCCGATAACATTACACTATCTTTAACATCGCTTATTGACGTGTATGAGAATATCCTAGCAGAAGACCAGAAAGAAGAAGACCAGAAAGAAGAAGACCAGGAAGAAGAAGAATGGAAAGTAAAAAGCAAAAGAAACAAGAAAAGAAAGAAGTCCAACCAATCAGCTTCGGCCGAAATAGCCTAACGGCGAAGAGGCCAGTAATCCTCAACAACTTTGACTCAAAACAAATGATGGCCATTAGAACATGCAGAGAAATAGAGGTAATAAACGACTATGAACGAAAATGGAAGATAAAAACCAATGTCCAAAAACTCCAAATAATTCACATCGCGAAAACGAACCCATGCCCTATTATTATCAACAATCAACAAATACCATATGTTGCCAAGGGAAAAACATTAAGACTCAAAATATCCAGAAGTGGAATAATCCCTCACATTAATGAAAGAATAGCTATGGCAAGAACCCAACTTACAAAACTTAGAAGATTCCTCCAACTGGACACCAACACGCAATTGCACCTATATAAAGCACTGATCAGACCACACTTAGAATACCCACCGATACCTTTGAACACAATTGCAAGAACTAATCAACTTAAATATCAAGCAGTACAAAATATAGCCCTCAGAAGAGCGGCAAAACACCAACCACCATACACACAAACAGTACAAGACATACACATAGAACACGGTATAGACCCACTCAACACCAGAATACACACCCAAGCAAAAGCAATATGGGAAAAAATCCAGCAAGAACAGGATCCCATACTAAACAAATTAATTGAGGAAAACAGCAATACAACACACAGTTGGTGGCCTAGAAGCAGGAAAAATGATAATGAAGAACCAGAGCCTCTATATACACAATAACAACAAAATAACAACAAATAAGAACCAAAAAAGATGGGCACAACTCTCCAGTCACACAAGGACCTGGAGGGACCCCACAAATAAATAAAGACCTAAATAGTTCACAAAAAAAAAAAAAAAAAAAAGATGAGGATTGTCCTGCAGTGCCACTGGAGATATGGAGGACTACCTTAAAATGCATGTACTGGACAACTCAGAATAACTTAGCTTAGCTTGGCTGAGACCGGCCTTCCCTAACCCCATGAACCTCTAATGCAGCACAGTTACGGAAGACAAAAAAACCCGTCTCCGCAAGGTGGATAGCCCACCTGCTGTTAACCTTCTCCTTTACTTCCCACTTCTGAACTTTACCTTGTACTTTTATCCTTCTCCCACTCCCAGAGCTACTGCTCTCTTCTCTCCGTACAACCAACCAACACTCACTTGGGAGATACGAGAACCAGCAAACACCTCACAGGATTCTCAGGATCGACTCTCGAAACAAATCGTAAAGATAATAATAATTCCAGCATAACATCCTTTACAAGTCAGCGAAATCAGATCTTATAACATATACAATGGGCCAGACATGTCTATGCCGTAATACATATGGTCGGAAAAACAGTGACAAAATCAAGATCTTTAACTCCCATGTACATCAAATGAACATACACGACGAACCACATGACAGAATAGCAATAGCTATAAAACGCAACATACAATACAAAATCATTGACAACTTTCAAAGTAACTTTCTTGCAGCCGAAATATATACAACAAGAGGCCCAATAACTATTGGAACTTCATATCTAACATTCAGAAGGTCAATATTCCCTACAGGGGACATCTTAAAACTAATGAGGCAAAACAATCCAGCATACTTCATAGGAGACCTCAATGCTAAACACAACCTTAGGACACAATATTAGAAACCCAGGAGGAAAAATCCTCCATGCTCTCATCGAACACGGGACAATAACACACCTCGGGCCCGACTTCGCAACTTACGTATCAGCCAGTAACTCTGGGAAACCAGACATTGTTTTAACCAATAGGCATCACCATCTAAACGTACATCTAAAAGCTGGACCCACAACAACCAGTGATCATCTACCCATAATAGCAACTCTATCCACATCCCCGATACAAATTCCATCAATCCCAAGATTTTCACTCAATAAAGCAAATTGGGAAAAATTTAAATCGGATCTTAGCAACAACGAACCAACACTCCTACACAACAAAGACACAACAGAGATTGACATAACACTGGATACATGGTACAATGAAGTAACAACAGCAATGAAAAACAACATCCCAAAAACAACATACCGTACATTACCACATGCACAATTAACATATGAAGAGAAAATGATCCAAACTAGATTCACCAATCTATATGAATACACAAAAACACACGGGTGGAGCAATGACAACAGAATATTATACAGGAATCTAAAAGAAGAACTGAAAGACATAAGCAAGAACAAACACAATGAAACATGGAACAAGCTGATCCATGATACACAAGCAGATTACAGAAATCCAAAAGCATTCTGGAAAAAAATAAAAAACCTAATGGGAACTAATTCGGAAGAAACTAGCTACATAAAGGACAAAAACGGTAGAAAGGCAACAGAACCACACGATAAAGAACCAATATTTAGAGAATACTGGAAAGACATATTCAGAATTAACGACGAAGACAATAGAAGCTTCTGCCAAGAAACAGAACAGGCAACTAGAACATATTTGAGCCAGAACACAGAGAAATGGAAACCTACTAGGAAAATCAACCTCAATTCATTAAACATCAATAACCCAATAATTGCTCCATTAACTCAAAATGATATTGAAAAAACAATAGCAAGCTTCAAGAACAAAGCACCTGGCATAAGCCAAATTAATAAAATCGTAGTACAAAACATTCCTCAGTCTATGATCCAGACAATGACCAAAAATATACAGTACCTACTTACAGCCGCTTCCTACTCATCCCGAAAGCAGGAAAGAACCATACCCAAGCAGAGAACTACAGACCCATCTCATTACTGGAAACACCCGGTAAAATATTGGAAAAATAGTCAACCACAGACTCAGAAATTTTCTAGACCAAGAAAACAAATATAACCCGAGACAGCACGGCTTTCGGAAAAATCGAGGAACCAACACAGCAATAGCACTAATATACGAATCAATTGCAAATGCTGCAAGCAACAGAGACCAATGCAATATAATTCTAAGAGATGTGTCAAAAGCATTTGATAAAGTCTGGCATGAAGGACTGAAGTTGAAAATCAAATTGGACATGCCTACCAATATCACAGCACTACTATGCAATTTCTTAGACAACAGAAAGGCCAAATTAATCATCGACAACCATCTAGGACAAACTTTCAACCTTCATAGTGGAGTTCCCCAAGGCAGTAATATATCGCCGACATTATACACTGTATACACAGCAGACATGCCGCAACCACGGCAATCAGAATATATAGCATACGCAGATGATGTCACACAGATAGTCAGGTACCCAGGAAAATCCAAACAAATGATGGCCATCAGAACAAGCAGAGAAATAGAGATAATAAATAACTATGAACGAAAATGGAACATAAAAACCAATGTCCAAAAACTCAAAATAATTCACATCGCAAAAACAAACCCCTACCCTATTATTGTCAACAACCAACAAATACCATATGCTGCCAACGGAAAAATATTAGGACTCAAGATAACCAGAAACGGAATAATCCCCCACATCAATGAAAGAATAGCTATGGCAAGATCACAACTTACAAAGCTCAGAAGATTCCGCCAATTAAACACCAACATGCAATTGCACCTATACAAAGCACTGATCAGACCACACTTAGAATACCCTCCGATACCTCTGAACACAATCGCAAGAAAAAATCAACTTAAATTTCAAGCAGTGCAAAATATAGCCCTCAGAAGAGCGGCGAAACACCAACCTCCATACACACAAACAGCACAAGACATACACACAGAACACGGCATAGACCCACTCAACACCAGAATACACACCCAAGCAAATGCAATATGGGAAAAAATCCAGCAAGAACAGGATCCCATACTAAACAAACTAGTCGAGGAAAACAACAACACATCGCACAGATGGTGGCCTAGAAGCAGGAAAAATGATAATGAAGAACCAGAGCCTCTATATACACACTAGAAAAGAACCAAAAGATGGGCACAACTCTCAGTCACACAAGGACCTGGAGGGACCCCACAAATAAACAAAGACCTAAATAGTTCACAAACACCCACAATAAAAAAACTAAAAACGAAAAAGATGGGGATCATCCCTCCAGTGCCACAAGGACCTGGAGGGACCCCCCCCCCCCTATCATAATATGCCCCAAGGAAACATCAAATAGAACAACTTAGCTTAGCTTG